TCCAATTTAGAGACAAGGATGTTGTGTGAGATAATAATAACAAAAACCTCTTAATTAAAGGTTTTGCAGTGACTCTTATTGACTAAGGGTTATCTCCATTAACAAGATCTATCTGTTGATAGATAATCTCTCACGCAGAGGTATGTTAGTTGTCTTCACAACAGACTCTGTACTTGTGTGATTAAAAATCTGTTTGTTCATAAAAACTGAAACTAATTGGGGTAATCTGCTGTAGGATGGAGGAAGGAAATGGTAAAACAGCTGAGGAGAAAGAGGGGGGGGTGTAAACTTCTAAGCAGAGGAAACAAATTGAGAAGTCTGCAGTCAACTTTCTGGTGTATAGGTAACTTACCTTTGTGTTGCAATTATCTCTCAAAAGTAACTTTTTTCGGAATTTTTTTGGTGTTTTTAATCCATCTAGAAAATGCAAGGCCTTTCATACCATGTAGTGATGCCTCTTCTCTAATGTTTTCCTTGTTGTATTTCTGGTAGGGCAAGGGTTTAATAATTCAGGAAGGAGACAATAAAATCTTGAATTGAGACTTCAGGGTTTGGGTGATGAAAAAAAACCTGAGAGTACGTGATTCTGATGATTAAGGTAACTAGTATAGAGGAGTCTGAAAATAGGATTGACAGAAGTTCTAGACATAATCCAAGTTACCTAGTGAAACAAATAAGACCACTTGAAAACAATTTATTACACACCTTTGAAATATTCTATGGATTTCCTTGCTAAGATTCTGCTTAAGGCAATATTGAGGCTAAGCAGTTAACTTCTTTGCAAAGGCTTTTTTGTATGAATCTTGTGAGCACACATGTCTGTACTGGGCAGGGTAAAAATATATGTGGAGTCTCATTGGCTTGTTTTCAGAGTATTGAGTTAGAGGGGAAATGGGAATGTGGTCGGGCTGCAGACAGGTTTTTAAAATGCACTATAGCTATAGGTATAATGTCAAACTGAAAAACAGATTAGAGCTTTGGTCATTTGAAACTAATAGTAAGTGTAACTAAGCCTGGTGATTTTGGGGTTGTTGGAGGTGGAAATAGTGCAAGTAAATCCCCACCAGAAAGAAATGATTGGTGTTTAGCTATAATTGCTAGGATTATCAAATGCATCTGTTTGTATTCAGCATACATGATATAGTCTCAACACTTAGTAACGTCTTGTTGGGGGTAGGTATGCTCTCAGGAGAACCTTCATAACTGTATTTTCATCTTCTCAGATTACCATCAATAAATGAAAGTTGTCTCTTTTTTAGGCATATTGAATTTGTGAACAATTCTGTGTCACTGTTTTAACGTAATTGGAAGCTAGCATCCTTTTTTTTTCTTTTTTTTAGTAGTCTCTGTAGCAGTGTATGTTCTCATCTTTCTCTGGAATAAAGCTGGATTTAAATTATCGGGATCTGGAGAAGACAACAAAGGTAGAAGCAGTCTTAGGATGTGGGAAGACTTGCAGCCTTCCGAAAGCTGAGAGAGGGGAATATGTACAACATGCCAGTCAGACAGGATAGAAGCTGTACAGACTAAATGGATCTAGTGATGCTGGAATTCCTGCTTTCCCTTTAAAAAAAGAAAGAAAAAAGTAATGTCATAGTTGAAGACATGAGCTAAAAATTATGTAGAGAATTTTGATTACATAGAGTAGTCTCATTTTAGAATGGGTCTGTGATATGTATCTGCTCCTGTTTTTAATGAAGTGTGCTAGCAATTATAGTTGCCTGTGTTCCATTTCTGTGTGTTGACAGGTATGGTGAATACCAAGTGCCAAACAAAGCCTTGAATAAGGATGACCATTATGTAGGGTACTGGAAGGAAGGCAAAATGTGTGGGCATGGAGTCTACAGGTAACATGTAGCACTTGTGGTGTTGTCAATGCAGAAGGAAGGGCAGGGCTGATGCTCTGGAGCACTGCTTACCAAGCCTCAGCATGTAGCTTTGTTACATTTCAGACTGGTGAATATAGTTAGGTTGGCTTATTTTCTGCTTTGCTTTTGGCATATTGCTCAATGCATACTTGTACAGTGTTCTGTTATTAATATCTAAGTATCTACTCTAATGTTGCTACCACCTTTCAACAATAGAGGAAACTTTCTTCTAGAGAAATATAACATCTAATTGCTTTGCTTGTTGTGCAGAGTGGCTTTAAACCAACAAAGCATCAAAAGACTTGTATTAAAGGTTCACTTTTATCCCCAAATACACTTCTACTATAGTTCCTGCTTGCTGTGGCTGCAGTGTAATTCCTAGAAGGAATAAGAGAGTTGATTTGTTCTGGAGGAACAAATGTGTGTGTGTATATATAAAAAAAACAAAACCAAACCCACCCAACCAAAAAAAACACCCCAGAAAACCAAAGCCAACCAAAACAAAGCCTCGCAACAGACATAGATTATAAGAATCTTTCTTACTCTCTTTTTCATTGTAGCTATGCTACTGGTGAGGTGTATGAAGGGTGTTTTCAGGACAACATGCGTCATGGGCATGGGCTGCTACGCAGTGGGAAGCTGACCTCTTCCTCTCCCAGTATGTTCATTGGACAGTGGACGATGGATAAGAAGAGTGGTTATGGAGTTTTTGATGATATCACAAGGTAATGCTTCAGTTCCACAAATCCTTAAAACAAGTATGATGTACAGTTGCAAAAAGAGGAGGAAAGGATTTCATCTGTTAGTTGCAGTAGTAGTGCATGTTGTTTTTATTATTTTTTTTTTTTTTATACTAGGCTTTCTGGGATGATGATCTAAACAACTGGGTCTAGAGGCTGCTTTTTGGTGCTGCTTCTGGAGTAGATGGTGGGGGAGGGTTGTTTTGATTTGGTTTTTTTCTGCCTTGCTTTCCTATCATACCCCTGCCTGAAAACTAGCACTGAATATGGTATCTTATTAAGGCATCTAGTGCAAGTGTTGGAAGTTTTATGTCATGTGAAGACTATTCCGTTATCTCAGGCCTGTAAGACTGGGGTGTTCAGTGATCCAGTATACAGGATTGTGTAGTGCTTGTGCTCAAGTTCTCCATTGACTTACTCTGTTAGTGTAGTGGAGGGAAAGTGCTTTCTCTCAGGGTAAATTAATGAAACAATGCTCTCAGAAACAGAACGGCAATAGGTAAGTGCACTAAATGAATGCTCTCTGAGCACAGATTCATATAAATCAATGTAATTTGGGTTTTTTCAGTCACCAATTTAATGCTGTTTTTTTCCTGAAAAGAGATCTTTGAGTGAGAGCACAAGAGAACTGCTTTTGGCTTAACTGAACTGAGTGCCCACTTAAAAAGCAGAATAGTAAAAATTCTGGAGGTGAAGGAGGTGTGTGTGGGAGTGTGTACGTGGGTATTTTCCTGAAACAGAGCTATTCTAGCATCTCTAGGTATTTCCTGATGTCAGTTTTGTATCTGGTCTTGCTCAGTGGTGGTGGCTGTTCTTATACTCTAGCGTCAATATGTCGCCACATACTTTTAGTCATTTATTTACCTAGGACAAACCGAAGAGATGGCAGCTTTTCTCGCAGAACTCCTCTCACCTCCAGAATTTGTAAATGCAGTGGCAGTTCACGGTGAGGGAGGAGCGTGGCATTTGCTTTGTACTCCAGTTACTCAACTATGAGCAAGCTGCCCCCATGATAGTTTTCTTACTGGTCTCAGTAAAGAGTATGTGCATGTTTGTGGCTTAAGGATTCGTTTTCTTCATTTCTTATTCTTCAGCTCACACAAATAATGCATAGCTGCAGACACTCTTATAACTTGCTGTCATTGTTGCAAAGCAGTCATTTGAGCTAGTGGGACTTCTACTCTGTTACATTTCCGTCCTGGTAACTGAGTATGCTGCTGCCTCTGTCTCTTCAAGCAGCCTTCATGCAGCAGAGGCCCTTGTAGTTGTCATGATGACTCAGGCCAGCATTCTATGAGGTTATGGGTCAAATCAGCTGGAAGATATCCCTGAATTCAGATTAATGGCTGGGCTTGCTCTCTTTACTATGACCATAATTTTTGTGGGTATCAGGAGGAAAATGCTCTGTAATAAGCAGAGTATTTTAAATAGTAGTCTGGAAGAAGCCGATATTTACTTGTGAGCAGTCTTTAGTTGCTTAATATTGTGGCATGACCTTTGTTAGGCTGCTCTCCAGAAACTTCTTACAACATGATCTGTTTCCTTACAATTTCTGCACTCTAATTAATTTTCATAATTTCATATATGACTTTGTAGGTCTCCCTCCTATCCCCCAAGTGGAACAGCTTGGTTTCTTTCATTTATTGTCCTTTCAAATTGAGCCTGAGTTTAGGTGAAGAAATGAAATGCTTTGGTAAAAAGAATGCCTAAAATAGGCTTCTTGCATCTTTTCTAAGTAACTGTTAAATACATCAGGTAGATGCCTGAGGAAGCCTAAGATCCCATTTCACATGCAGCTAAATCTTAGCTGACCTGGTTCAGCTTTATCTAATAAGTTTCCCTCTTTCTTGTGTGCTGTAGCTACTGCTTAGGTTCCTTTGGATAGGAATTGGGCTTAGTGGGGCTTCAGCATTGTTTCAGATCATCAGGAAGAGTTTGGTTGGATGTGGCCAATTTGAAAGTGAATTGGGAAAGGAAGTTTCTTATAGTTTGCTTCTGTTAAAGGGTCTTTATTTCCATGAAGCTAGAGAAACTAGATTGACAGATCTAAAGTATGTGCTGTATGACTCTAATAGTCTCTGTAATGGCCAAATATTTGGCTTTTAAAGCCAAAGAAAAGATATAAATATGCTACTAAGACTGTATTCTTCCTACTTTTTTTTTTTTTTTTTTTTATTTCCAGAGGAGAAAAGTATATGGGAATGTGGCAAGATGATGTTTGCCAAGGCAATGGTGTTGTGGTTACTCAGTTTGGATTGTATTATGAGGGAGCCTTCAGCATGAACAAAATGATGGTGAGTTGAACACCAGACTCTTGTGCTATAGTGACTTCTTCCTCTAAGTGAGGTAATTTTCTGGGGTAGATGAGTGTATGCTAGGCTGTGTACACCTTCTGTTCCTTTAACCAGCTGTTGTCCTGGCTTTTTAAACTGTCTTTATAATCCCTGCTCTGTTTTCCTAGGACTACTTCAGAAACTTCTGTTTTTAAAAAGAATTATTTGCTAAGAGTTAGTAACACATTTTTCAGTGGATCTTTAGATCCACAATCAGGCTGCCTGTTATAATTACTACTTTGTGCTCTTTATGATTCTCTTTATAGGGGACTGGAATTCTGCTTTCTGAGGATGATACAATCTATGAGGGGGAATTTTCAGATAACTGGACTCTGAGCGGGAAGGTTGGTGTTACAGCTCTTACTTGTAAACTGTTGTCATCGGGGCGGGGGGAAAGGTTTCTTTCCTTGTAATTTGGTTCTCGATGGATTTCAGTTAAATTTTTTATTATCTTCTCTCAAGGGAACTCTGACCTTGCCAAATGGAGATTATATTGAAGGTCTCTTCAGTGGAGAGTGGGGATCTGGGATAAAAATCACAGGAACTTACTTCAAACCTAGCTTGTATGAGAATGAGAAGGACAAACCTAAAGCATTGTGAGTGTTGAGTAAGAAGTAACTTCTCATGGTTCAGTAATACTGTGGAACATAACTATTGTCTTTTGTCAGAGGCCAGCTAAAAATATTTTTTTCCAAAGAAACAGTGAGATTTTGAGAATGTTTTTCCTTTTCCATTTGTCTTTCCCCCTGCTTAAGAAGATCAAAATTATTGGTTTTAATAGCTGTTCTTGCTTTAATTACTACTTGAATATGGAGGTAACAGCATGAAATTACAGGATAGCAAACATGCTGCTATTGTCCCTCGGATTAATTATGGTGTTAATTTCTATCTGAACTGACTGTTAGAACCTGAGTTCACAGGTGCTGTGACTTCTGAGGCACTGAGAAAAACTCAGTTACACTTGAGTGATTAAGTCAATGACAACCTCTCTGCCTTCTGCCAATTATTCTCTTGGTAATTAATTTAGTATGTCAATGATGGCAGTGGGTGCGTATTTGAATAGAATAAGCTACTACACCTCTTCCAAACAGCGCATAAGATAATAGTAGAAAACTCTGCTCAACTGCAGAAGAGCATTTTAACACCTTGGCAAAGATAATTTTTAAAAGTGTCCATATAACCATATTTATAGCAGCTACATGAGGTCATTTTGCTTAATTATCTCTGGGGGAAAAATCATGTTTGTTTTATTTAAGTCATAACTGAAATCTTTGAATAGAAGAAATGTAAGTAAATTTAAAGAATTACTGGTGAGACATCAGTATTTGGTAGCACTATATACTGGTTTACGATAGAAGTAATTGTACAGGACTCAGTATCTTTGAAGCACACTCTGAAATTTCAGATTAAAATGGGAGACACAACCTAATGTTTTTACATGGATTACTTCTCAGTGTGCTTCCTGAAGCATTCACTGGTAATTTCTTTTGACAGTGCTGACACCTACAACAGGATGCAAAGTTAAGCAGGCCTCCCTGCTG